ATAAATGCGCCTCCTATGTAACCTCCTGGATTCAGTTTGGAATGGAAGCTTTTATTCCTTCTCGTCGGTTTCAAGTCAAGCCTCATTCTACTCCAAGGTTTTCTCCTTCTTGTGCGGCTGCTATATCCAATCGTAATTAATTTTCTTTTTCAAAAGAACAACTCTCTTAAGAACAAACGGCTATTTATTATTGCAAGAAATCGATGTAAAAAGGTGCTTTCTGATGCTAAAATCCGTTATTCTCAGTTCACTAAATCTCGCATCTTATCACAGAAGTTAGGCTCTAAAGACTTTTGGAAAATCTTCAACAGCATTATTAACAAGGGTAGATCTAACATTCCATCTCTCATTCATGGGACTGATCTTATTACCTCTCCCAAGGATAAGGCAGAACTATTTGAAAAGAACTTTTCTTCTAATTCCACTCTTGAATCTTATGGACATTTTCAAAAAGTCTTCTCTTTTCGATCGCCTAGAACAAGCAGCTTATCTTGAATCCGATCTCACTTCAGTAATAGAATGGGGTTCACAGTGGCTTGTGAATTTCAACTCTAACAAAACCCAGTTGTTTACTGCAAACAACTACCGTAATATGGTCAACATTCCTATATTAATGAATGGCAATCCTCTTACTGAGTCCTCCTCTTTACGTCTTCTTGGATTATCGCTAACTACTGACCTTTCATGGAAACCATATATACAATCGATTGCTAAATTAGCTTCTGCTAAGGTTGCTTCTCTTTATCGTGTTCGCCATTTCCTTACTTCTGATTCCATTCTCTACCTCTACAAATCTCTTATTCGTCCCTGTATGGAATACTGTTGTCATATTTGGGCTGGTTCTTCTAACGATTCACTTTCTCTTCTTGACAAGGTCCAAAAACGCATTGTAAATGTCGTTGGACCTAGACTATCTGCTAAGCTTGAGCCTCTTTCCCATCGTTGTAAAGTTACATCTCTTTCTCTTTTCTACAAATACTATCATGGTCACTACTCAAAGGAGTTATCATCTCTAGTTCCATCAACTAAAATTCATTCTCGTTTTACTCGTCATTCAGCTAAGTCTCATTCGTTTACTGTATCTGTCCCCGCATGCTCTAAAAACTTTATTTATCTAGTTTTTTTCCCTGCACTTCAATCCTTTGGAACTCTCTCCCATCTTCATGTTTTTTTGACTCATACAACCTTCAACTTTTCCAGTCTTCTGTCAACTGTTTCCTTGCTCTATAACTCTGTTCTTTTTTTTCCTAGTAACTCCCAACTTAATAGTGGTTGCTTGCAGCCTTATTGAGAGTGAATGCAAATAAAAAAAAATAAAAAAATTTGCTGATGGCTACGATCTGGACGATTTGTTTTTTTGAAAGTTGGAATGTTAGTCATTATTTTTAATACTTGGGAAATTCGAGTTTGACTACAGTTACAAACTTGAGCTAGCACCCTGACTTATTTTCAAAAAATCAATCTTTGGAATATTTTCTTAAGTAGCTACCATAGAGATTCGACCACTTCCAACTTTTCTTTTTAGAGATCCATTCTCCAATTTTACGATTTTATCGTAAGCAGTTGATCTGGGTAAACCCCATTCCATAAACTGCTAAGCAAAAAACACTTTACCTTTTTCTTCATTTTTTTGGAAAAAAATTTCCATAATTTTTTCGAGGTCCTTTAATTTGACCATTTTATTTTCAATATTTAAATAATACTTTTAACTTAATTAAATTAAATTTAAATAGATTATAAAACCCTCTTTCAAATAAGTATAAAGGTTTTTTGCGTGCATGAAATAAATTACATAATAAATGCAATTAAAACTTGTCAGAAATTTTATTTATAGTGTGTTATATATTTAGTTGTTAGTTCTCGGTGTAGTTAAGGCAATTTACAAATTATTTGAATACTTTTATTTGGAATTAGCATGATTTTATCAGCGTATTATGTCCAAACAAAAGCTTTAGATGGTATAATTTCTTTTGCTTCAGGTTTTTTTAATATTTAACGAAACTTTTTTTTTTTATATAATTTTCAAAATCTTTTTACTCCCCATAATAGTGATTCTAAGGAACACTATTTTGGACTCTTTAAATCAATTCCGCTCATCAGCCTTAACATGAACTTAGTTAAAATCTTTTGAAAAAATTTCTTAATTTACTACTGATCCTAGTTCTAATTGGTTCTGACGTATATTAACTATATATAGTTGTCAAAACACAATACTACTATCAATTTTCACAAAAAGTACTAGAATTTCGACCTAGAAAGAGTTTATAAATATGGAAAATTGCCAATAAACGATCAGAACAGATCATATTGTTAAACTACAATGTTCATTTCACCTAAAAAACGTATTAATTTATTCAAATTTGGAGGAGCAATTTTAAGATGACTTTTTTTGAAAAAAAAAAAGTCTTCGGTCTGGGTTTTTTCGCTACAAACATTTATACTTCATGATACCGCAAAATGTATCATTTTAATATTTTTCTTCTTTTCATAATTTACAGACCAGACCATTTAACGGAAATATGTCGCAGTCAACAAAGTATCTTACAAACACTATAATATTTTAAAATTGCCTTAACTACACCGAGTTGCTCTGTTCTTTTAAGAACATTCTATTTTGTAGAATACATTTAAAATTACTCAAATGGGTGCAAAGCTGGTCAACAGATAGAATCTTTTTACCCCTCAAGTCATTGCCTATAAAGCTTTCTACGAGACAGAAGCCAAATGCATTTAATGCCTGCCCAAGATGAGTATTTTACTACTAAAAGATCATCCTAAATGCATCTAAAAATAATATTATAAAATAGATACAAAATAATATAATATAATAATATAGCATGGTTTTATGTACCTTTTAACTAGAGTTTTCCAGCAATAATTAAAATTATAAGAAGATTTAAAATATGCCCGGCATATAGTGTTATATGTATTATTATGCAGATGAAAAGAGCTATGATAGTATAATTGCATCCAACCGGTGTTTGATTGCTAATAAATCTATAGTTTCATTATTCTAAATATACTTTTAGATTTAATTTTTATTAATTTTTGTCAACACTGTCCAATAATATATTTTTACATGCAATGTAAAGCATGTATCTAATATAAAATTTATGAAATTTCAGGATATGCACTTATCCTTTTCTCTAGAATGGGTGGTTTTTATGTAAATTGCACCTTTTTTTTTTGTATGTTAGTCTTTTAGTGTTTTTTGTACTTTTGATCAGTATCTTCCTAATTGCTCGCCTGTCTTGATTTTGCTATATTATTATATGCCAATATAACTGTACATATCAACCCCCTAGTTAATATGTATAAGTTGTACATAATATGTTAGTACATAATATAACTAGCCAAGTATTTATATCAATCTCCCAGTAAATATGTACAATTTAAATATAATGTGTTGTCAAATTTTTTTACAATTCCAACAATAAAGTAACATTTAAATCATATTATACACATTGCATTTAAATTAAATTGCAAGTGTATAATATGATTGTGTACCTTATTTCTTGATACTTATAATTGATAAAATAGCTAATTTCTCATTGCAACTAAAAATATAAATTTCTCCTTGCAACTGACAATTGCAAGAAAAAGGTTTTAATATATATGAGGTATATATATTTTGATATATACTGAAAAAATGAAGAACATTCTATTAATGAACATATTTGAAAGCTATATGCTGCTTTTTTTCATATAAAATTAGATGTGTCTTCTTGGGCACTACAATATTGTTGCACTAGCTGTTCTTTATGACTAATCAATTATTTAAATACTGGCTACCCCATGTCCTTTTGCATTCCTATGATATTGCAATACTATGAACAGTTTCTTTTTATAAATGCTTCAGAAGTGAGTATCAAAGCTGTACTGATACATATTAGCAATCAATTACCATCCGTGCCTATTACATATTCAATGATCTACAAAAACCTGAAAGATATTCAGAAGGTGATATAATATAATAAGCAGTGGATGATATGTGCTGATTTGAAATTTGTTGCAATCTTAACTGGACTACACAATGTTTTGTTTTTTCCATTGTTTTTGTACTTCACAAGCAAGACACAACCATTACAAAGAGGAAGTATGGCCAAAGTAAGATTTAAAATAATCATCCTCTGCTGGACTAAAGAATATTGCTAATACTCCACTTGTTTTACAGAACAAGATGTTGTGTTGGGTGAAACAAGTTTATATAAATTAGGCCGCCATTACATAAAAAATTAGGCCTCATTAAACAGTTTGTAAAAAACACTAGACATTAAACACTTTGAAGACCAAATTCCCCAAATTGAGTTCTGCGAAAGTAACAGAAGGCTTTTTCATCAGACCACAGTTAAGGCAACTGAATCTCATTCAGCAATTTTATGACACTCTAAAAACAGTTTAGAAGATAGCATGGCTACCTTTACAAAATGTTTATCAAAATCTCTAATCAAGAATATGATGCAGAACTATGAAAGCCTAGGCTGTAATATGTAAATCAAACTTCACTTTTTGGATTCTCATCTTAATTTTTCTCCTGAATACACGTGTGATGTTTCTGATGAGCATGGTGAACAATTTCGTCAAGAAATTAGAAATATGGAAAGTCGTTATTTAGGAAAATCTTCAGCTTCATTACTTCCTGACCACTGCTGGACTTTAGTGTGTAATTTAAATTCCTCTCACAGCAAATCCAGTGTGATGAACCATTTAAGATTGCACAGACAGGACTATTTTGTACTGGTAATATCTCACTTTACATAACACCTACATGCTCAATCCAAATAAAAGTGTCATCATCAAATAATGTAAATATACCATAAAAAAGAAAAACAGCATTTTTACAAGTAAATTTTAAAATTTACATGTTAAATGCTAAATCAAATGTTAAATTCAGATTTGGCACCATTAAAATAACATAGTACAAAGGAAATTATTTTCATTAAATTTTGCAGATTAATATGTATGAAAATTATAATCAGATTTTTTAAACAAAGTCTTACCCTAGAATCAAATACACAGTGAAATAAAAATATCAAAAAGCCTTGAAGACTGTTTATTATAGTAAAAACATATCCAAAGAAAAGTGATCTAGAATCAATGTAAAAGATCCCCACAATCCATGTAATACCAAGAAGACAGATAAGCAAAAATGTACTTTTTATCCAAAACCTAAAAATAAGAAAAAAGCTTTAAAAAAACAGTTTAACACAAATAAAAGCTTTTACTCAAACAGAAAGAAAACATACACACACACACACACACACATATATATATATATATATATATATATATATATATATATATATATATATATATATATATATATATATATATATATATATATATATATATATATATATATATATAATTATATATATATTTGTAATTATTTTTACCACAATTCAGCAATATTTGAAGTACGTTTTTTTGACTTCACAGAAACCACATGTAAAGATTTAATGAATATCAAGATGTTAATCTTAAAAAACAAATTTAAAATTGTATAATATATATATGTATATATATATATATATATATATATATATATATATATATATATATATATTATATATATATATATATATATGTATATATATATATATATATATATATATATATATGGATATATATATATATATATATATATATACATATACATACATATATATATATATATATATATATATATACATATATATATGGATATATATATATATATATATATATATATATATATATATACATATACATACATATATATATATATATATATATATATATATATATATATATATATATATATATATATATATATATATATATATATATATATATATATATGTATACATATATGTATATATACATATACAGTCTTCTCCGTTGAGCCAGCGCTTTTGCGCTAAAGTATCTTTGCGCTCACCCACATGCCCACAAAAATTTTTTCGAGCGCATAAAAAAGCGCTTGCCAAAAACATAAAAGTGTCTTATTTTAAATCGCAACAAAATCTTTTTTGCACATTTGTTCAACTTTTATGAAAAATAGCTTTTTTTAAACCTGTTTATTTAAAATTATTTTATATAGTATTTATTCAAAGCGTTCTTTTCTCTATTTTTATTAAAAAACATTTTATTAAAAAACAAATTTTTTTTTCTTCAACATAATGTTTCTCCATCAGTAGGTTCATCAGGCTTCCTGATGAACCTACTGATGGAGAAACATTATGTTTACTTTCCAACAAAGTAATGAGTGTTAATATTTTGTTTGAGTGTTTGATAATTTTATTTTAAGTTAAAAGCCAAAAAACTATCATCTGAATGTTATTCAATTTTTTAGTTCAACTAAAAAACTAAAAACTTTAATTAAAAAACTTCCTAATTTAAACACCAAGAAATGTTATTATTTAAACATTTGCACATAAGCAATTGCTTGTGTGCCAACTATGGAGTTGTATTTTTGGATTAGCATGTGATCGAAATTACGAAAATGTAGTATAAACTCAAAATCACAAAAATGATTTGAAATAGAATCCAAAAAAAGAAGAAAAAAACAGTAATGAAAGAAAAGATTGCTGTCCCAGCCCAAACCCTCAGTGGATGTAGTGGCACTCCTTTGCGGCAACAGGCTATAAGATAGTCAATGTATATACTGAAGCCCACAGCAAAAGGCTATTATATATTATTATTATATATATTAGATCTACCGGAAAGTTCTGTTCGTTTCTATAAAAACAATTTTCGATGTGTTAACACATGTTTATTTAACACATGTTCGGCTCAATTTTTTTGTAGTTTAAAGTGTTCATATAGACGTTGCTAATTAACTCAAACAAAGTTATTTTACGTTTATCTTTTTTGTAAAGTGATAGTGTAAACATGGCTACTGATAAAGTTCATTTACACCACTGTATTTTATACAAATTTCAACAAGAAAGAAATGCTGCAGAAGCATACAGAAATTTCTTGAAAGTGTTTGATAAAAGTACTAATTCTGATAGGACTAGTAGAAGATGGTTCCAAACCTTTCAAACTGGTGATATCAACTTTTCTGATCGGTCACACTCTGGGTGTCCATCTTTGATTGACAACAACATTATTAAGAACATGTTGAAACAAGATCCTTTTCTGACAACATCCAAGATTGCAGAAACACTTAAATCAGCTCAGCAAACTATTTCAGACCATATTCGAAAGATAGATTTAGTATGGAAATACTCAAGATAAGTGCCACATGAATTAAATCAGAAGAATTTGGATGATTGAGTCATTGTATGCACATCTCCAATTGTTCGGAACAGAACCGAGCCATTCCTGAACAGGATGATAACTGGGGATGAGAAATGGAATACTTACAAAAACATCGTAATAAAAAAGGCATACTGTGAACACAGAAAACCCATCCCTTTCGCATCTAAACCACATTTGACTCTGTATGAGAGAACGTTGTTTATATGGCGGGACATTCAAGGATCAACACATTATGAGCTTCCAAAATCAAACGAAAAGCTTAATTCGGAGAAGTATTGTCAGAAGTTGGATAACTTGAAGACAAAAATCCAAGAATAAAAAAGGCTGTCGATTTTAATAGGAAGGACATCATAGCGCATCATGATAATGCCAATGCCAAAATAATGGCACTTATATTATTCAATAAAGTTTATAGGTGATATCAAAAATTTGTATTTTATTTTATTCCAAAAACAGACAGAACTTTCCGGTAGACCTAATATGTATATATATATATATATATATATATATATATATATATATATATATATATATATATATATATATATATATATATATATATATATATATATTTATACATATACATATTTTTTTTTTTTTTATATTAATTCACCTCCTCAAGGCCGAGAAGGCCACTACAGACGAGGAGGCTACTTATTTGTGGTTATAACCCTCTCTCAACTCTATAACTCCGAAACACAAACCTTGATGAGCAAGGCCGCTGCGCGGAGAAACGAGTTGAGCGCGGTACTACCAGGGACGTGGTGGGGATCGAACTATACATATATATATATATATATATATATATATATATATATATATATATATATATATATATATATATATATAATTTAAATGAATAAAAATAACTGATTAGTAGGATTTAAAGTTTCATGTCAGAAAGCAATCATCATTAATATAAAAAAAAAAACGAAGCTATTTCATTGCCAAAGCATTTTAAGCTGCCCTTTTTTTAAATCATGTTACATTAATGAAAACAATGCATTATCATCATAAAAATCCCAGGTGACACTCCATCAAACTAATCCGTTAACAAACTAATAGGTTAATCCATCCATCAAACTATTAGTTTAATCCATTCATCAAATGTCACCCGTCTTTATTTGATTTTTAAAAATATTTTTATTTTTCGTTAATTTAATTTATTTTTCGATCTTAAATCAGTCTTATCATTATTGATATTAATGAATGATTTTTCATTTTAGTCAGATAAAATTCGGAATAAATTCATTTTTCGAGAGGCTTTCTTATTGTTTATTAAGAAATTAGGCATTACTTAATAAACAATAAGAAAAGACTTATTGTTTATTAAGTAATGCCTAATTTCTTTAAACTTCCCACAAATAGATTGAAGATTGAATACTCTTAATGCTTTTGCATTAAACATTGACTTTTAGTCAAATAAATGCATAAAAATCATTAAATACACTAAATAATGTATAGTTTTGCAATAATAGCAAAGAAATTATAGTCAACAAAAAGTATTAAAAATAACTTACACATACAACTACCAAAACTGATCCAACAATTTTCCATTATATATAGTTTTTTATTATTATATAGTTTTGTAATAATATCAAATAAGCCAAAAAAAAAAAAAAACATAAAAAAAAAACAACAACTTACAAATATGACAAATAAAACCGGTCCCACAAAACTCCATATAAATCCACTTTTGACAGACAACCAACAGCTTAAACAGGGACAAAAAGAACAACAGGGATTAAAAAGAACTTTAAATAAAAGTATTAAAATTTTGAATAGTTTTTTTTTTAAATTAGAAAATATTCACAAACTTTGAAAGAATTGAACAAGAATATTAATAATAAAATGTTAATAACTTTTTAAATAAAAATTTGGTTTAGGATTTCAGACTTTATTTTTATTTACATTAACATTTTGCAAATGTATTCAAATATTTAACATGTTGAACATTTAATGTATTTGTTTAATAACATTGTGCAGAAATGCAAAGGACATCAGCAACCATAACAAAGAAAGTAACAAAAAGAATCCAAATCAGCTTTAAGTTTAAAGTAGAAGTTTTTTTTTAAACATCTTCACTTAAAACAAGGCTGCAAGCAACCACTATTACAGTTGGAAGTTACTGGAAGAAAAAAGATGAAGTTTATAAAGCAAACTAACAATGATGACTTAAAAGATTGCAAATCAGGAAAACAAGATAAAGAGAGCATCCAATGTTCGAGGAAAAAAACAAATAAAAATTTTTGGAGCCCTTAGTAACAATCACAGTAAAAGGATGAAACTTAATTAAATGACAAGTAACACAAGAATAAATTTTAGTAGATGGCATAAGAGACGCTAGCTCTTTAGAGCAGCGCCCATTATAGTATTTATAGAAAAGAGCAGAAACATTACAATGATGTGACAATGGTTGAAGATTGGCTGCAAGAGCAGGTCCAATTATGTTTACAATGCATTTTTGTACCTTGTCTAAAACAGAAAGGGCATCATAGGAAGATCTGCCCTAGATATAGCAATAGTATTCCATAAAAGGACAGATTAGAGATTTATAGAGATAAAGAATAGAATCCAGAGTAAAAAAGTGGGGAGCTTGATAAAGAGATGCAACCTTAGCAAATGCTAATTTTGCAATCAATTTTATATATAGTTTCCAATCAGGGTTGCAAAAAAAAACATTTTTTTTTTTGAGAAAAAAAAAAACAAAAAAAAAGTTTAAACTTAAGAAGTTTTAAGAATTATATGTTGTTATCATGAGCAATTCTATGGAAAATATTTTGAGAGAAAAATTACAAAGTGTTGCAATCCTTTTGGAACACATGAGGAAAGTGAAAAAATTGCTATAAAAGTTAATCTAACATTAATTACCACAGAATTGATATAAAAATTAAAAGAAAAACATTTTATTATTTATAAAATTTTTTATATTTTCAGTTATTTTAAAAAGTTAAAACTAAATTTGTTTCTTAGGTAATATAAAGATTTTCCTAGACTTGGTGAAATTTTTGCAACAAAATAATGTTTATGTAACCCCAGATTGGAAATTCTGCAGTAAATGTTACAAAAAAGCAATAGAAACAGATGGAGATTTAAATTTACAGGAGGAATGGGAATCAAAAAGTGAAGTTAGATACCACTATAGAATTGCTTGGAATTTTACCAGTCAAACTAAAAAGTCTTTCAAAACACAGCAAATTGCCTGCAGCAAAACAAAAGTTGAGAACACTATTAACAGAAAATTTGCAAAAATGAAATATTGCAAAAATGGTCTCATTAGCATATAACATTAAACAAACCTCTTTAACAACAGAAATAAAAAGCCTTATTTCAAACAAGAACATTAACAAAGACCATGATCTAGACATATGTAATGTCTAGATCATGTCTAGATCATGTCTAGCTAATGTAGGAAATAAAATTAAAAAAATTTTAGACACTGACTCTTATCACCATAAAGTGCAAATCCCCCTTTGATGGTATTGGTGGGACTGTTAAAAGAGTAGTATGTCAATAAAGTCTAAAACAAACAACTACAAGGCAAACTTTAGATATTAATTTAATGTACTCCTTTTGTAAAGCCAAGATAAATGGAATTGGTTTTAAATTATTTTCTAAAGATGAAACTGACCAAACACAAGCATAATTAGAAAAAAGATATTTAGGTGGAAGAACAGTTCCTGGCACAAGGACATATCATCATTTTATTTCAATTGCTTCAAACACTATAAGTTATAAAAAAACAACTATTGATACATGTATTAAAATATTTGATATCATTCCAAAAAGCAAACATAATAAAGAGATTTCATTAAACATTAAAAAAATGGATTACATTGTATGCTTTTATGACGGATTTTGGTGGGTAGGGATTGCTGAAGATGTAAGTGAGCTTGATATAAGTCAGATTCATGCATCCACATGGACCAGGTAAAAACTTTTTTTGGCCAATGAGAAATGACGAGTGTTGGGTACTTAATTCTGAAGTTATATGCCTAACTTCTACACCAACAACAATATCAGGTCGTACGTACAACATATCTGATTTAGATTTGGAGAATATAAGCAGTTGGTTACAAAAAAAAAAGAAATTCATTTAAAATAATTTTGTTGTAATTTTATTTACCTATTTTGCATTTAGAATTTGTCTTTCTTTTTTTCAAATTCTTGGATGGAAGGCTTAGAAGGAGGGGGGTTTAAATAAATCCCAATGTCCACCTTATTATGTCAATGACTATTAATCTACCAAATAATACCATAAAGATATTGATTGTTAAAATGTTTTAAAAAACATTTCAATATTTTTGGTTTTAAAATTTATGATTTTTAAAATGGTGAAAAAATCTTTATGTTTTTAAAATGTTTATAAAAGTTATGTTTTTAAATTGAATTTTAATAATTATTTATTATTATATCATTTAATGCACTAAAAAAAAAAAAAAAAGTATTAGAGAGACAATTGATGAATCTAATTTTTTTCAGTAGACCTAAGGTAAAATAATGATATACAATTAAACTCTTTATTCGGGATTTTGGGCCACAGTCTTCATTTTACCTCCAAAAATCATGAATTTACAAGTCAATAAATTAGATAAACCATTTCCTGAGACAATCGAGTCTTGAGAGTGTTTTTTTTGGATTCTGCAAGTAAAAATCTATTTGGGTACCAAATTTTAGGAAATTTCCCCAAGCCATTATGAAGATACTATATGTCAAAGTTGCTTTGTAATCACTTGTAGTAAACAATATCTCTGGAACGCATGTGTATTTTTAACTAAAATTTTTGCAGTTATTATTTTTTTAATATGGACTGCAAGCGAGGTAAAAATAAACAAATTCTGAGACGTAAGGGTGTCATGGTCGGAATGATTTCATATGGAATAACCCTAATATAATTGATAACAATGACAAACTACTGAAGGATGATAACTACTGGTAACTATGGTAAGTTAGAAATAAATAAAAGAATGATATAAATAAAATGAAAATTTAAAATGTTAAAAAAACTAATTTAGTAAGCTCTATAACATGTTTAACTATTGTGCTATAATTAAACTTCTATACTATAGCTTGTTACATATTATTTATATTGAAATGTTTTTATTGAATTATTTGCATGGTTGATTTGTAAATTATGTTCTAGAAAATTATCCAACTGAAAGAAATTACTGCTTCAAGAAATTAAAGGAGTGCTTCCAAATTATGATCAAAGTAGACATCAAGTCTAGCCAGGGAAGTCAATAATTATTTTAACTGTGTACCAAGGAAAGAAGAAGAGAAAGACACTCTTAAAGATTTTGAAAAAATAACTATTAAAAGTTTCACCATCTGGCAGTGTAGTAGTAGAATGCATGTTTTCAACTGCTGGATTGATTGTCGATTCTCGAAGAAGTTTACTGAATCCAACTAAAATGAACATGATTATTTTTATACATAACATTGGTTTGTTGTGAAATAAGTTGTGATATAAATTTATTAATTGTAATAGTTGCAAGCAATATATGAAACTTTCTATTTTCAGCCGGCTAGGCTTAACCCTGCTAGCCAGCTTTTTTTTATTAGCCAGCAACCACTAGTTTTTCAGATAGCTGGCTATCCAACCACTTGTATTAGCCAGCCAGCCATGAGTCCTATTTACTGACGGCTGACTAGTCTAGCGGTACCCTTATTAGGAGATAACAGAAAGAGTTGCATAGACTCTATCAAAGAGGCTCAAGCAAAAACCCATCAGTAGAGTCAAGAAGATCCAGCATTCCTCATTTTAAGCAAGAAACAATGTCACACAGGTTAAACAACTATGCTAATTAAATAGATAAAGAGATACTAGGCTGGTTAGCAGAATTATTCTGCGTACCCCTGAATTCTTAGCCTAAAAGGCCTTCTAGAAAACAGTAGCTCGATGCAGTTAACATCTGCCCTAGATAACTACTTTTTAGTGAGACACAATCTCTAATATAAAAAGATAATAAATATAAATAAATAATAATAATAAGAATAACTTACTGATTCCTATGTTTACCATAAGCATTGTAATCAATCAAAAGATTGACAATCACAACTAAACCAGGGAAAACTAAAGTAAAAATTATTTCATGTAATTTATTGAAATCTAAAATCTTAAGAAATACTAAAAACTGATAATCAAAAACTATACCCCAACAAGCAGCAATATATTTAATGGCTTGAATTGATGGATTACCAAGTAATTTAAACACTTGAACAAGCATCATATAAAGAACTATTCCTTCAAATGCCATTAAGAAAAATGAAGCAAGGAAAAAATAATGCAACAGCACTGCAATCACTTGACAGCCTATCTACAAACACAGATAAGCATGTTTAAACATGTTTAACTTAACAAAATATAAATTTTAAGTTTAAAATTAAATGAATTTACAAGTACTTGATGATAAATTTCAAAATTTCAACTAAAAAATCCATTAAATAAAAACCGAATATTTTTTTGAAAATAGTAAATGAAATTATAACTTTATATCAAATATTAAAAACAATTGTTAAAATAGCTGCTTTAAAAGTGCTTCATCTAAAAAACTATTAGATAACTTTTTAAAAAATTAGGCCAAGGTATTTAATTTAAAGTAGGCCAATGTATTTGATTTAAAGACTCCTTCTACTATTTCATGCAACTAAAGGGGGTTTTATATCAGAGTTAGTTATATCAGAGTTTTATATTGAAACCACTAGTTAGAGTTTAACATCCTTATTGATTAAAGAGAGTTTCAGCAAAAGTCAGCAACAAAACTAAAAACTCCATTAAACTTGCATATGAAGCCTAAAAGCTAAACTTGATTTGATAACTCTCTAAGTCAGAAAACTAAAAAGGAAATTGGATAAAGACCTTCACAAAGTTTCACAAAGTGAAAAACACACTAAGAGTTTAACTTAGCAATCCACAAACTTTAGATATTCTAAAGAGATTTGTAGTAATGCAATTAGACATCATAAAAAATTTTGTAAAACAAGTATATGTAATAATAAAATGTAATGTAAAATATGTAAAAACTCAACAAATAAATGAAGATTTTGTAAAGAGGAAACTGTTTTAGCTAAAAATTCAAAAAGCTTATTGTAATAAAATTTTTTGGCACTGTTAGCTGCCATCATTTAAACATAATGTATCATATGATGACAAACTTAAAATAAATGTAATTATCTCACTTTTAAAATAAATTAACACTTCTTTCCTGTCTTCAATCCTATTTTCACAATTGAATCAATTTATCATTAAGCAAGCTTACCTTATTTCCTGTTTTGTCAATACCCAATAAAAAAATTAATTCAGCCACAAACAATGCAAAAACAACATTTTTATGGATGGTATTACGAAGTGATTTAATTGTTCTGTAAAATAAAAAAATTTACTTCACTCTTCATTATATTTTATAATACAATTTTTTATCAGGATATTTAAATTAGATACTATCTAAATAAGACAATGTAATGATCTAAAATAAAACAAAATTTAAACTGTCACAAGACAACATTTTAAATATAAAAATAAATATGAATACTTTATAAAAAGAAAGGAAAGAAACGAAAGCATTAATGTGATAAGAGATATTGATAATCCAAAAGCAGTAATCATGTCCATTACCATCACATGAGTTTCCTAAACAAACACAATTTCTTCTTTGAAATTTATTCAAAACATTTTAAAACTTTCCTTATATACACATTTTTACTTTAACTTAAAACTGCTTAACATTTATAAACACAAAAACTTACTGATAAATTCTCTATAGCATCTGTAACAGACATTAAAACAGCAAAGTTGGTCAGATGGCTGCAATGACAGGTCACATGAGATTCATTAAACTTAATCATCTTACAACCATTATCAGACCAAAAGGAACTACCATTAAAATTGTCAAGATATACACAGTTAGGAGTTGACCCATTAAGAAACTAGTACAGTAAAAAATATAACTCAGAATATTTATATATTATAACATAAAATTATATTAAAAAAAAAAGATTAAATGTTAAATTTTTTTCATTTTTTTGCCTAATATTAACAGATAACCTGAGAAAAATTCATTTTTTTGCCTAATATTAACAGATAACCTGATAAAATTCATTTTTTTGCCTAATATTAACAGATAACCTGATAATCATATGGCTAAAAAATTCTGTATTTCACTGACAAACAGTGCTTTAATCAGTCAAATACTGTATTTTTTTTTTTATCAAGTTAAATACTGCATTTGTCTATCAATCTCAAAGTATAAATTAACACTATTCTTAATATTCTATAAAAAAGAAATTAGCTTTCAAGAAATCAAATTAAAATATTTTTAAAAAATAAAATAACATTATTTGACAATAATAAAATTATGTAAATAAAAGTATTTAAAGAAAGCAAATAATAATATTTTTCATTAAATATACAATTATTAGAAAAATTGATGCATCGGTTTTAAATAAAATATGTTTTGTTTTGCAAACTTTTTTTTTTTTACAAAAATTGCTGTGATAAAAGTTAAAAGAACTTTTTTTTTATCCTTTTTTTCTTTTTTACAAACGATTTTTAAAATGCTTTTCATATTAAATACAATCACAATACAAAATGTGTTGCTGAATGTAATAAATGCATTAAGGATAAAATATGTTGCTGAATGTAACAAATGTATTGAGAGAAAAATGTGTTGCAAAATGAATTGGTTTATTTAAGATTTTTAAATAATTGTAATAGACAGTGAAAAATATGAAATATTCAAATATTTAAGATTTATATTGAGAGTAAAATGTGTTGCTGAATTAACGTACATATTAAGGATTCATCCACTACCAAGTATAAGTTAACATTTGGCTCACTTTGGGAAATGTTCTTTTTATATTGAATAACATAATAAATTTTAAAAGATTCAAATCTTTTTACCTTTTTTAGGGAAAAGCAAAACAAAGTATATTTTATGTGTCCATTTAAATTACTTGCTAAGTAGTACAGAACGACACGTAAAACTTAATCTTGCATCATAAATTTACTTAATTAACAACAAAAGTGCCATTTTTAAATGCCTTTTGAAAGAGTTTTGAAATGCTTTAAGACACTGAAAAAAAGATATTTGATACAAAAAAAGTTTTAACTATAGTATTAGTAATATACTAATACTATAGTTAAAACTTTTTGTATCAAATATCTTTTTTTCAGTGATAATTTGAGATCTATAATTTTAATATAAAGTAATAATAATTTTTTTAAAGTAATAAACAGTGTTAAGAAGTTTTCTAATTGAAAGCCATCTAAATAGATAGTAAAAAAGACAAAAATACATTAGCCCTTATATTGGGATATAATTACTTGCTGAACCTATTATTAACAGAATAGTAGATAAACATTACCTAACTTTTATTGCAGAAATAAAATCTCAGGTGGCTGAGACAATTAAAGTACTTAAAAAATAGGATAGCATTAGAAGTTTGGAAGCCATTGTACTTAATAACACTTCTGCTAACACTGGTGTGGATAATGGATCTTTAGAAAGATTTTTAAATCGAGGAGTTTACTTAATAGGATGTGTACTTTATCAAAATAAGTTACCAATTTGCCATGCCATAGCTTAAATAAACAGTAAAAAAAAACGATTCAAAAAAATAAGGGCCCTATTGGCCAAAATGCATCTGCATATGACTTACACAATTTTTCAATTTTTGATTTTGTTCTAATTTACATAGAAGTAATCCAGAGATTGACTCCTATGTAAATCCTGCTGTTCTGGTCTGTTGTTTTATCTGATCATGGTACAGACCAGCATCAAATATCTCTACTCTCTAAAGAAGCTGCTGTTTTATCTGATCTTGGTACAGACATCAACTTTTTGAACATTGTATAATATTCAATGTAAAAACCTGGTCACTCTACCATGCTATATGGCTAATTATAGTTTTAAGAATTATAATGGTTCATTTGAGAGCAAAGAATCCTACAGATGAATTGTGCACAATCACAAAGTATATTGTCCAGGTTCTCTGACTCATGTTGTTTGCACACAAAGAGTCTGGTCTTTATAATGATTCTCCTAGACTTTTTAATAAGACAATAGTGCTAGTTAAAAATCAGAGAAAACTCTTCTCTACTCTCTAAAGATGATGAAAAAGATATAAGGGACCAAGCTATCAAGCAAATTCTGCACATATGGCATTTAAGAAAAGTAAATCCTAACGAAAAACAATAAAAAAACGAGAAAAAAAAAAGGCTTATTGAGGATGAAGAGTTTTGCCTAAATGTAGAAATGTAGAAAGCTTGATTCCTTTTTTTCATTTGCCTCCAGTATTCATTGATAAATCTATTTCAGCTTTGAATTTATTCTGTTTGTTTTGCTTGAATTGCTTGAATTGCTTTATCTTTAAGACTGTTACACATATGCTTTGACATGTATTTGTGTCTTGTGTAATGGATAGCAGACATTCCAGCACAACAATTCTGATAAATGTTTTTGAAATGAGTGTTCCACTAAAGGTCATTTTGTAATATCACAACGAGGAATTTGAGTAAGGGTTTCTTACTTACTGCCAACAACAAATATTTGCAAACCCATGGACCCTTGAGTTTTAGCGTTGTTGACATGCATTTTAGCACTTTTTATTTATTTACACTTTCGTCAAAAAGAAAAAAATTTACAGTCGTAACTTATAAAAAAAATAATTACATGACCGGGGCTAGAAGAAGACAAATTTAGTCTTATCATTAAGCCCCAATCTTATCATTAAGCCCCAAACTTAATGACTAATCTAGCAAATTATAAACTTCTTCTTGCAATTTATCGAATTTATTGTGTTCAACATGATGTAATAGTAAAGTGACATCGGTGTACAAGTTTAAGAGACTTCTGGATTGATCAAGGATTGACATACTGTTGACAACCATGGTCAAGAGAAATGATCCAAGCACAGATCCTTGTGGAACTCCACTAGTGGTATTAGTCCATGGAACAGAAATCTGAGAGACACAGGAAACAACAACAACTTTGAGAAGGGTTAAATAAATGCAATTTAATCCATGTTAAAGCAGTGTCCTACAAATTTAAATTTATTTTTAACTGCAAGGAGGACATCTAGATGACAGATTTTGTCAAATGCTTTTTCAAAGTCAAATTTTTCATTTGCGAAGGTACCAATTTATTCAATGGCTTTTAAAAGAGTTTATATAGTTATATTTGTTAAACTGTTAGAGATATATACATTTATACATATAGATACATTACTTTTATATATAAATATGATAAATACTTGTATATATAAATATAATGAAGAAATAATAAGAGAAAATTATATTTAAATTCAAAATATATTTTATAAAATTTGTTTAACCTTTTCTAACTTTTGAACAATGACAACAGGATTTATAAATGGTGAAGGACGTTGAGGAAATATTGAAACTGTCATAATTTTTGAATTAAGTGTAAGATTCGAGCCAAATTTTTGGAGCTTAGACCCCCTATTAAAAACAAAAGTCAAAAATACAAATAAAGAAAAGATTATTATTCATAATTTACCTTCTAAACTTATTCTAACTTATTAAATACATCAAAACAAATTAATAAAAAAAACGTGTAAACTCTAAATATGTAAATTCTAAATTCAAATGTAAAAAAAACATGCAAACTCAAAATTCAAATGTAAAAAAAATCATGTAAATTCTAAATTTAAAGGTAAAAAAAAAACAACATAAAAAATTCATAATTCAAAAAAAACACATTTAAATTCTAAATATGTCAATAAACTTACTCAGGAATACCAATAAGCTTATCTAATCTATTGAAAGTTGCAACAACCAAAGTGGATTTCCCATCTAAAAATTTAAAATAAAATCTATAGAAATAAATTCAATATTTTCAGTAAATATTATTAACAATGTTTGTTTTTGAGAGTTATTATGTTGATATGCACTTGACTAAAAATACTAGAATTTTAAAAATGGATGTTAGAAGGAAGTACGCCATACCATCAGTCAACATATATTCAGGGACTTGCACAGTATTTTCTAGAGATCTAACAAGTTTTTCACCAGGCAGAAGTTTTTTGATATTTATAACTAAAAACAAAATTATTTTATAAAATTATTAATACTATATATAATACTATATATATATATACTTTTTTTCTATATATATATATATATATATATATATATATATATATATATATATATATATATATATATATATATATATATATATATATATATATATATATATATATATATATATATATATATTTATATATATGTATTTTTCTATAAATTAAGTTGTAGAGAAAAAAACTCATCAACTTTATTGAAAGTCCTTTGAATGTAAAGGTGGAGAGGTTAAGGCCATCGCTCTTAACATTTCTAAGGCGTTTGATAAAGTTTGGCATACTGGTCTTCTCCATAAGCTTGCTTCTAAGGGTGTATCTGGAAACATCTTTAAGATTATCGAATCCTTCCTTTTCAATCGTAGTATAAAAGTTTTCCTCGATGGACAGCACTCTTCTTATTAGTCTGTAACCTCAGGGATTCCTCAAGGTTCAATCCTTGGCCCTATACTCTTTTTAATTTACATTAACGATCTTCCAGATTTTCTCACATCTAAGGTGGCATTGTTCGCTGATGATACTACCATTTATTCTTGTCACGATAAGAAGCCAACTCCCTCTGATTGCTTGCAGGGGGCATCTGAGCTTGAAAAGGATCTCACTTCTGCTACAGCATGGGGCTCACAGTGGCTGGTGAACTTTAATTCAGATAAAACTCAATTTTTTTCAGCCAATCGTTATCCCAATAATTTATAACTTCCTATATTTATGAACGGTAATATACTCGATGACTCCTACCCTTCATCTTCTAGGATTAACTCTTACTTCTGATCTATCTTGGAAACCATATATCAAACCCGTTGCAAAATTAGCATCTGCTAAAGTTGCATCTCTTTATTAAGCTCGTCACTTTCTTACTCTGGATTCTATTCTCTATCTCTATAAATCTCAAATCCGGCCTTGTATGGAATACTGTTGCCAAATCTGGGGTGGATCTTCTAATGATACCCTTTCTCTTTTAGACAAGGTGCAAAAACGCATTGTAAACAGTTGGACCTACTCTTGCAGCCAACCTTCAACCTCTGTCACATCGTCGTAATGTTGCTTCTTTTTCTCTTTTCTACAAATACAATAATGGGCACTGCTCTAAAGAGCTAGCGTCTTATGTGCCATCTACTAAAATTCATTCTCGTGTTACTCGTCATTTAATTAAGTCTCATACTTTTTCTGTTACTGTTCCTAAGTGCTCCAAAAACTCTTATTAGTCTAGTTTTTTTCCTGGAACATCAGTTCTTTGGAATTTGCTTCCTTCATCTTGCTTTCCTGATTCATATAATTTGCAATCTTTTAAGTCGTCTGTCAATCGTTATCTTGCTTTACAATTTCATCTTTTCTCTTCCAGTAACTTCCAACACTAATTAGTGGTTGCTTTCAGCCTTGTTGGAAGCGAAGATGTTAAAAAAAAAACAACAAAAAAAAATAACTAAAAATTAGCAGGGATATCATCAACTATTACAGCGCTTAACTCATAAGCGACATGTTTTCAACTTGTTTCTCCGGCCTTGTTTGTTAAGGTTCTTGTTTTGGAGTTATAGAGTTGAGAGAGGGTTATAACCATAACTAAAAGTAGCCTCCTCGACTGTAGTGGCCTTTATAGCCTTGGGGAGGTAAATTGAAATTAAAAAAAAAGATGGTTTCATTCTTTCACACATCATTATCAACATAGTGATAATGTGGCTGTTTGGGTGCCTCCTTGTTATCTAATCTTTTATTGTGCAAACTGTTGCATAATGATTGGAATAATAATTCTTACTGAATATGGATCCTGATGTATTTTATGTAGAGTATATATTTCTTACTTCCAGTGATGACATGGTCAAACCAGTTAATCAAGCAGTGCAAAAAAAAGAGGTTCATATCTGTTTCTGCTCACTAACTTAGCTGACTGGTATTCAGTTAGAATGGCATCTAAACACATTGGAGGTCTGAGGGTTCGGAGTCTTTTCCCATTATGTGTTATAGGGTAAAGCAAGAATTCTTTTTCACTCTAAAAGCTTAGGAAAAGGTGTGTTATTAAATTTTAAATTTAAAATAAGGTGTGTTCTTATGTAAAACTAAATTTTAGAGTTTCCTAAATATTTTTCTGATCTGACGAAGTTTTGATACCCAAATTTGCACTTTTAGAAATTGGAAAAATTTATAAAATCTCATTAAAAGAAAAAAATGTCCTTCATAGTATTTTACAATAAATTAAATGCAAATAATATTTTTAGACAGCTGCAAGTTTGTTTGATACTTGTTTCATAGTTATTATTTTGCATAGATCTTATCTGGGTAATTCCATGTAAAAGTGGGACAAAAAATTGAAATTTTTCAGTCACCCTCTCAGATTTCTTTCAAATTTGAACCAGTGGTACCTATCAATATAACAAAAAAAAATGTAAAGTTTGAGCTTCCAAATCCAAACCGTTCAAAAGTTATGACATTTTGAAAGTCAGCCTAAAACGTCCTATTTTTTTCCACTTCCGCCATTATGAACTTTGTAGTATGAACTTTGTAGTACTTTTAATTGAATAATTTAAGATCTAGTGGGAAAATGTGGCTGAAAATCAGTACCTGACCATTTTTGAGGGTGCTGAATTCAAAAATGTAGATAAAATAGTGAAATTTAAATTTTTTGATAGTTATTTTTTCATTTTAAAATGGCCAGTCAAATTTTTTGTTTTGTAACCATGGGTTGCGCTTTCATTAATTCCCGAAGTTGCCCAAGTCTCATGGATTCAAGTTTTTTTTCAAATGAAGTAGGTGATCCTAGGCTATCTTTATAAAAAAAATGGTTTTGGGTTCTTAAAGCATAGAAAAGTTATTTCATTTTGAAATTTAGACAAAAAATTTCTTTATTTGGCATCTATTCTCTATTATAGATTTTATAGAGATACTTATTGTGTGAATAATTTAAGATCTAGTAGAGAAATATGACTGCAAATTGGTATCTGACCATTTTTAAAGGTGTTGAATACAAAGACGAAGAGAAATTAACCCAATTCCTAATATTTTAAAATAATATTTGAATTTTAAAATGGTATAATATTACCTAACCAAAAAACGGGGTAACATTTTCACAAATTGCCTGACTCTCATGGGTTCAATTGTGGTGTGTAAAAACAGTTTATTAAGGTTGATTTTGATATAGAAATAAAATTTTGTGAAGTGAATTATCATGAAAAATATAGTTTTGCAACACCTGCTGTGATGTGTAAATATAGTTTTGGGACGTCAGTTATGTGTCTAAATATATTTTTAAAACAACAGTTAATAATAACAAATTTCAATAAAAAAAATTATTTTAATTTTATATTAAATAATTATTAAATCTTGTTTGGTAATTCAGTTTCTTAGTCATGGCAAACAGTCAAAAGTGCTCTATTGGAATCAACCTAGAAAGTGAATGTCATCTTACAACATATACATCGTTGCTGGGAATCGAACCTTTTGAAGATATTATTGAATATGAAAGAGAAATATTAATGTGGAGGACTGGGCTCTCAATAATAAATATCAAACCAACAACTTGTTTCCATCATAAACATGTTTATTTGAAGCGTTATACAACTAAATTAACACGGTGCTGCAATCCATTTAATACTCATAACAAAACTATAAAAGGTATTTATAGTAATCATGAATTTATAGTAAAACTTTTAGTTTTGTAGAAACGTTTTGAATTACAATAATGAAATTCTTGGCAGCAAAATTCTATTTTAGCTATATTTAACCTTTTAGCTGACTTCTGAAAGTGCACAATTAAATGCCATACAACTTTAAACTTTTGAAGGTTTTATTAAAAATTTTATACATATTAAAAGAGTTCTTCCCTTTTTTTAGGTAGTCTTCGTGAAATCAACTTGGATACAGCAAAATACCTATGCAGTAAAGGCAAATTCGTAGTTCCAGGTGAAAAACTTTGTACACAATGCAGGCATAAATTAGCAAGTGAAGAATCAGAAGAGAACGAGTTGGAGATGAAATTACCTGAAGATAATATGGAAAAAGATCTTATACTGGAATCAACAAGATCGTTGCTCAACAGTACTTTATGCGAACTTGAAGTGTCTCCTTTAAAAGTTCATTTACCCAAAACCTCTAACAAGCCTTCACTTGGAAAGAGAAAGATAAAGCAAGTTGAAGAAGCAGTTATTAAGAAGCTTGCAACTGCTCTGGATATAACCGAATCCGATCTTGTTGCACCAAAAAATGAAGTTCTAAAGGAAATTCAAACCAAAGCTGGCGATCTAGACTTCCTTGTAGAATGCATGAAAGAAAAACTTAAGGTTTCTAACAGGAGACAGCAACTTCAAATTTTGACATTAACCCCAAAATCTTGGTCTATCAGAAAAGCAGCAAAAGAGTTTTCAGTTTCTAAACACAAAATTCAAAATGCAAAGTTTTTACGCGACCAAAAAGGCATCATAGCATACCCTGATGTGGTTGAACGGCATCGAATCGGTAAAGATGTTATAGAACTTGTAAAGCTTTTTTACTATGACGATGAGTATTCAAGGCAAATGCCAGGTAAAAAAGACTGTGTAAGTGTTGGGGAAAAAAAATACATGTCAAAAAAATTGATTTTGTGTAACTTAAAGGAGCTCTATGTGGCATATAAGACAAAGTACCCAGGCCATAAAATTGGATTTTCTAAATTTTGCAGTCTTCGACCTAAATGGTGCATCCTTGCTGGTCCAAAAGGACCAGCAAGGATGCACCATTTAGGTCTTTATCTTTATTGAAAAAATTGTCTGCAGCAGAAAATCTAAAGTTTGCATGATTCACCGATGCAATAGTTGTCCTGGCATACAACATGCCCAAAATTACTTCCAGCAGTATCTCGCACAAAATGATGATCCAAAAGAGCAATATGACAGTGATGAAAATGAACAGTCAGTGGATTTAAAACAGTGGACAATGACAGATAGAACTGAATTATTAACAATAAAACTTCCATTAAATGAATTCATAGAG